CGGCGCGACCCCCGGGGGTTTGGCCGATGGTCGCCCGGCGTGTTGGGGGTGCACGGGTGAGAAGGGGGTGCCTTATGCCACCGGCAGGAGAAGGGGTCAGGTTCACCTTTCAGCTCCTGTCCGTGCCACACGCAAGCTCCCAGGCGTCTCCTCGAGGAGTTCTGCCTGTCCCCAGAGGGGACACTTGCTCCTTTCTGGCCCGTAATTGACCAAAGGAAACCGAGGGCGCCGGGGCGAACGTGTATACAAAGGGCATCTCTGTAACGCACCTTTTCCTGGTGCACCAGGTGCGAAGACCGGCGCTGCAGTTTCTGTTTCCGGGCAACTCTTATTTGGGTTCTCAAGGGGGCATCTCTGACCCGTGAGCCCCTGAAAGTAAAATCCCCTCCCCCCCCTTTTTGCACTCTTCCTTGAAGAGATTTTTCATTTCAGTACCTGTCGGTACAGGAGTTTTTACCCTCTCATTTCCTGTGTATCAATTCCTGGTTCCAATTCCTGTGTATCAGGAGGACACTGTAGCAGATTTCAGTTACCCGGGAAATTGTGAGTTTTTATCAATCACAAGTTAATTTGGGGAGAGCATTCGGGAGTTGAATCAGTTTTTAAAAGTTTTATTCCTTACTCAAATGCTTTTTTGGGGGCGGGAGGGGGCGAGTAGCATATGCCCTACCTGTCAGCACTCTTATTTGGCAGAGTGACTTTTGCTTGTTTGAGTTTCTTTATTTTTCTATTTAATGAGAAACTTTTGATATTTAATATTTTGAAGGAGGATCCCCCCCCCCTCCATTATTTTCGAGGTGAAGTCTATAAAATCTTCGACTTGTATGTTAGGTATCTTCCCAGAGTTCCAAACTAAGGTGCAGGAAAGTAATTTATACAGACCTGAGGGCTTCAGCATGGGATAGAATTTTGTATAATAGAACACCGGGAGTACTACACCGAGAAGTGTGGTCCCTGCAGACAACTGTGTGTTCTTGCTTTCTCTGAAGCCACTGCTGAGAGAAGCTTTGTGGGAACGAATGTAAGTCTGAGGTTAGCTATGGTAACTTCTCCTTCAGGATCTGGATTAAATTTGATACTTTCTCAAACAATGTTTCCATCCTATACTTTTTGTCTTTTGAAGTAATGAGTTCTACAAGTTTATTAGCTCCTAAATTATGTAACAATTCATTCATTTATCCCAAACCTGTTTCTTTGATGCACCAGGACACATGCAGAGTTTGTGTTTTGAGAAATGCTATTATAGGCTGGAGCTATTCTTTTTCTGGTTTTACAGATTTTGAGTGTTTCTCTTTACCATTATCTTTCCTGACCCTTTGTATGTCGTAGACTAATTTCTTCAATTCCTTTGATCATTTTGCTCTCTTCTGGAACTTCTCCACCTTTTTTTTTATATATGCCTTGTTCTTGTTATTTTTTATGAGGAACCTTAAATTTTATCTATTTTACTTTTATTTATTTTTTTTAATCCTTACCTGAAGATATTTTTCCATTGATTTTTTGGGGAGAGCGAAAGAGAGAGGGAAAGACAGAGAGAAATATCGATGTGAGAGGAACACTTGATTGGTTGCCTCCTGCACCAGTCCCGACCAGGGCCTGGGCCAAGAAGGAGCCTGCAACTGAGGTACATAACCTTGACCAGAATCCCTTCTGTCCTCTCTAGCCACTGAGCCAAACCGCCTAGAGCTCTATCTATTTTAAATGGGTACTGACATGAGTAGTGGATATAATGTTAGATGTAAAATCAGAAACAAATGTCTCTGGTTCTGTTATCTTATTTTGTGACCTGGAGGAATTCACATATCTCATGTTTTACAGAAGAAGAAAAGTATAATCTTTCATAGGGAGGAAGGGAGGACAAACCAACAAACTATAGTTTAAGTATAGATTGTACTCCATCAAAGTTGTTTACTTACCTTAAGACTTTTTATTGCTTGACTATGGTAATGTTTTGTTGCATATTTGGGTATCAAAGGAACAAAATATTTGGGATCCCTACCTTTGAGATGCTTTTATTTATAGATGGCAAAGGCAGTGAATCACAAATTGCACAAGACTGTAGGAAAGTGGGAATGGACCACTATTTATCTACTACCACTATATGTCAGTTACTTGTTTGGTACCTCATAGATATAAATGTATTTGCACATTTTTCATTAGGGAAATGATAGTGTTGAACGATGGCGGACTAATTGGAATGTCCGAACCAAATCTGTGAAGATATTTTTGAGGGAAGAAAAGTGTTTCAGACTTTTGGAATTGGAGGGTGTGAGGGACAAATGTAATTAGAAATTTAGATAGGAATACAGAGGGAAGTTGTTGAATAGGCTTAGGATCAGTCTATATTTGTGTAAATACATGTTTACAGATCAAAGAAGCAATTGAGAACAATGTTCCTGAGACAGTTTTAGATGAGGAGAAACTGTATTTTAGGCCAAGAGGCATTATACCTTTTTCTAGGGAACCAACATTTTAAAACTATGGTCACTGAAGAGCTATACAGACGGAGGAGTGAAAAAGAAGGTCCTTCCAGTATTTTAGTATGGTGCTAATGAGCGATTTCTTGTAAGACATAATTCAGAAATGGGGCATTGTATTTTTTTTTTTACCTTAAATTTCAGGGTAAACAAACATTGGATTCTAATGCAAGCTCAAGACAATAAAATAATGAGTGATATGCTCAAAATGTAGAGCTGGGAGTCATTTTTAAAGTATTAAGGTTTCTCGAGAGTGCTGATAGAGAATGAAAACTGGATATTTTTCCTTGGGGTGGAGGGAAGGAAAATCATTAAAGTTAGCAAAGATATAGTGAATGGATGAACTCTCCTTAAAATAAATGTTTTAAAAGTGGATAAGAGTTGAAGTTGAAAAGAAACAGTCTTTAAATATGGCCAGTAGTTAGTCTTAAAGCATATGATTCTGTATTTTTGAAATAGCTATGACAAACTTGTAGAGTATATAAGTCCCCTGAGGTTAAGTTCAAAGAATATATAGGATTTCACTGTTAAGGAACTTATACCTGAAAGGACAGATTTCTCTCACTGTATTCATGTTTTTATAGTTTGCCCAGCATTATTATCCTAAATTTGGCCTCTAACTTGACGAACGGGCTAAAAATAGCTGGCAGAGAAGGCTGCTTCCCTTGCTTGAAGTTGTGTGTGTCTTTGTGTCCTGCACAATGGAGGGGATATCCCTGTGCTGGCACAGAAGTGCTGAAATTCTTTTTTGGAAAACCCTTTTATTAAAAAAGAAACACAAAACAACTTAGCACTTAAAAACATCCAGACATCTTTGAGGCATGAGAAACTGAAAGACTGTCCTTGTATTTTTTTTCTCCTTGTGAAACCTGCAGCTAGTGTGTCTAGCTTTTAGTGTTGACTAGAATAAGGATTAAGGCTTGTGAGGCAGGGAATACATATATCCCCACTTTTGCATTGCTGAGTTTGAATTTTCCACCTTCCTGGTAGCTTCTTTGGCCTCTTCTTAAGAGTGATCATTGCAATGGCAGAACTCTCTGGGGAAGAGATATTTAGACAAGAAGTTTAAATCTTGGCTGATTCCAGGATGAGGGTACAGGGACTGGAATGTATGCCACATGGATGCCTGCTCTCTTCACCCCTACTTTCCACAACATGTGTTTATGTGGGTAATACCTTGTTTTGATGAACGTAAAGGGCAACTGTACATGATTTACTAGTACAGACAGAGGGAAAGGTAGGACTCTGGTTGTAGGGAGTCATAACTTCATGTGCTGTGCTTTGGGATTGATATGGGAAGATTAAAGAGCCAGCCCAATTCATGTACTTTGGAGATGGTTCTGGGAAAAGTCTTACGTTTCCTCTGCTATCTCATTGCATAGAGG